TTAATTAATTTTCATTATAGACAGCTTTATAAAAGTATAAAAGCTCTCATAAAGTATTTTTCTGAGGTCTGTCTTATCAGGTAAATTACTGTACACAGTGTATTCATTAATTTTCATTTTCATGTAGTAAAGGCTCTATGCCTTCATAAAGTACGTACTTTTCCTTTGTTTAAGGGTATTTGGGCAGTTTATTCTCTGTTGTATTCTCCAGCAAACAATACATACAAGTACAGTACACTATTTTCTGAGGAAACACGCATACTTATCCTTTTTTAACCCCATTCCCGATAACCCGGCATTTTCACAAACTCAGCCATCCTTCGGACCACATTAGGCCGAGTTTTCGAGGTTCTACTGTACTAGTTAATTACTAACTACTCTGTACAAAGCAAACTAGCTGTTATCTTATTCTCATTTCTTTCATGAATTACATTCATTGCTTGTTTTGCAAGTTCTTGAGAACTTGATTCTCAGAAACTCATTTGATTCTTGAAGGATCTCAATTCTTAAAAGTATTCAGTTTTACCCCTCATTAATTTCAAGAAAGACTAATATTAATAATAGTGACTTATTGTGACATTATTACAATGCCATGATGCAATTTTTAATCATATTTTAATTAAAAAATTAATTGGGGTCTCCAATCCCTCAGCTTTCCATAAGTGATCTCAATTTTTGTCTATTTAACTCCATTCTCGAGATTAATGAAGGACAGACAGACAGATGAGTAGAATTTATAGGTCTGCAATTTGAAGATTGCAACCCAACAAAAAAGATATACAGACACAAGTCTGTATGTCATCTTATCACATGTCACATGACCCTTTTTTCTATGAAATTGTTCAAAATCCTTCTCAGAATACAGTATGTCTTCACCTCCACCAGATATAACCTTCACCTTCACCTTCACCTTCACCAGATATAACAATCACTGCAGAGCAGTGACTGTTATATCTGGAGTTGTACAAATGGAATTTTAATTTTCTGTTTTATCCATGTTCTTCCTACCCAAAAAATATATTCTGTTTCTAGATTGGGCAGGTTTCCAGCTTATTGTAAGAGTTAACATAGAGAATCACTCAGTTCCAAAGAATTTCTTATGTTTAGGCAGTTTCTGGTACTGTTGTTAGATGTTATACAGTACTGTATTAGTTCACATGAAAAGTTTATTTGAATCTAATTGATGATAGTTTTTAACAAAAATTTAAAAAAAGACAATGGCTTTTTTAAATAATACCCAGATATTATTAAATTAAAGAGAAAAGCTATTATCTTTTCTCTTTAATTTAATATCTGTGTGTTATTTAATTTTGATTTAATTACTTTAAATATTATTTCATGTAGGTTTATACTGGGAAACAATATAGCTTATAATAATTTTAATTTAATTCATTTTAATTTTAAGGTTCTGATGATAAAATTTTTGTGATGATTTATTTTAATCAATTTCATAAAATTTAATATTTAAGATTAATTTTAATTTAATTATTAGATTTACTTATGTAAATCATAAATATTAAATTTTATTACTATATTATCATTAGATTTCTTTCAAAATTATTTAAAAGTCTATTTCAAATGAAATTTACTAGTAATTATCAGGGCTGTGCAATTAGTAGACCAAGTCCCTGACTCCAACTCAGAATTTCAGGTCTGATTCCTTCCTCTAAATCAGTGTTTCTCAACGGGGGCAATATCGCCCCCATGTGGGCGTTTTTCCGCGTTGAGGGGGCGATTAGTAACAATTTATATTTGGGGGGGCGAAAAATAATTTTCTGGGCGATATAGTAAAACATTATATTAAGAATAATTGGATATTTTATTCGTTATATCGTACAATAATTAAACAAATAACATTATACTAGTCACTAGTCTATTCAATGCAGTACGAATTTGGCGTTAGCCTTTGCCTGCGGCATCGGAATTTTGAAGTGAAGGGGGCGATACTACGTAACGGTTTTATTGAGGGGGCGATACTACGTTGAAGGGGGCGACGATTCGTAAGAGGTTGAGAAACACTGCCTTACAGTCTCAATCGACATGATCGACACAACTTTTTAAGAAAAATATTTTTTGTTATATTTTAAATAAAAATATACCTAGATATTTTTGTAACAGATATTTTTAAATATATAAATTTTGATGTGTTGGGGGCCACTTCAAGCGCGGGGCCCGATTGGTGCATATCGCTGCAATCGCCTCAAAACCGGCCCTGATGACAGACTCGTGTGCCATCTTGTAATGAAATTTTAAACTAAAGGCCTTCCCAAATTATTTATTTATCTGTAAATATATTGTAGTGTAAATTTTATGTGTTCGCCTTTGAAAAAAACTAAAATATTTATACACTTATTTTTATAGCCTCTACTTTTATTAAACAAATAATATGCTATGTATAAAGTTACTATTTATGAAAAAAAATAGAAGAAATGTTACTTCTAATTTAATTCGAAACAATATTAACGTTTAGAATTACGTATTTTCACATATTTTGAATTATGTTGAATTATTTGAATTTTTTAATTTAAAAAAACATAATATGTTAGTTAAGTTCTCGCTGTTTACTACTCTGCCATCTATAGATCACAATAGTAACTATCTTTTACATACACAAAANCTCAACAACACTGAACACCAGTCATAATTATATAAAGTTTTTGAAGTTTTGTTGGACATAATTAAATATGGATGCAGTGTCTGATATATTATGACTATTAATATTTTATTTGTTATAATTTTTGAATTTATACTAGTACTGTATTTTAACATATTAGAATATATTATATAGAATTTACACAGAATACAATAAATCATTAAGAAGTAATTTTTTAAAAACACTATCTTCATCAAATATTTAAAATATATAATATGAATAATTTTATTTATTTAGATTATTTGGATTGCAAGCATTGGGAATGAGTGCCTTATGGAGATTGTTCTGGGGAAAGAAATGGAATCCTCTGCGTCAGCGTGTAGATTCTTATACGTATGATGTACATCAGTTATTTTTAGGAACCTTGATGTTTACAATCTTGCTCTTTCTGTTACCAACTGTTATGTTGTATTATGTTGTTTTTACTGTGGTAAGTTTTTGAATTTAAAGTTTTAAGTTTTATGTATAAAATATTATTAGATTTAGTTCATTTTATACTTAACAAAAATGGAAGTAGAATAGAATTTGATCAATTTGAAAATTCCACTATGTGATTTTCATTTATTTTACATGAAGACAAGCCTTTATTAAATTTTCAAAAAAAAAAAAAAGTCTTTTGAAGAGCTTTGTTATAAGATCTATTTCAAATTTTGTATAAAAGAAAATTATACAGATTCTATGTTATTGCATAAACTACTTTTATGTACATTACTTGAAATAAGTTTTACTGAAGATGCAATAAGAGAAATTTTTAAGAATAATTTTACATATTCTTATTAACAACTTTTTGAATAATAATAACTCTTTCTAACCTGTTCCATCAGAGATTCAAAAATACCTGAAGAAGAACCGTCGTTAAGGTTCGAAAACGTTAGTAAAGAGCTATTTTTGTTTGTTGTGATTTAGGAGGAGAATGCACCAGTAACAGGTTAGAAAGAGTTTTTATTAGAATTCTCTGGTGTGGGGATAAAGATGTGTAACTTTTTGAATATCAATAAACAAAAAATAGTGATTAAAATCCACTAAATAAATAAACTTTTTAATAAATTTTATTTATTATGCTTAAAAGTCACTACTTTGAATATTATAAGTCATTAAAACATTTTTTAGGAATGAATATATGATTTTATTCAATCTGTATAATTATGTGGAAATTTAAGTAAAAAATATATATAAAATGTCAGAAAAACAGGATCTTAGTAATCTAAATTTGTCTTTGATGTAAGATGATAGCAACATTCTACAGTTAATTCTGAAAAATCTAATTAGAAGTAAATGTTTATCTATGCTATTTATATCACGAATTTGATTAAATATTTTTTTAGCTCCGACTTCTAGTTTTAATGATTCAAGGCATCATTGGCAGAACTGTTAATCTTCTTAACACATTACCTGCATTCGTCATTTTATTAAGACTAATGGGATCTTCTAGAATGAAAGGTATCTATTCGATAAAGGTAAATAAGTGATAAGTGTCTTAAAATTTCAATTTGTTTTAGGTGATGTACAGTTTACAGTTACTACAAGTCCAGAAAACGGACCGACTATATTATATATGAAAGTAAGTAATCATTCAAACAATTTCAATTGATGTTTCTAATAATAAATTAAAACATCAACAAATATTAATTATTGTAGGTTATCCACATTCCTTACATGTCTGTAGTGCAGATGACACTTCCTTCAGATGAAACAGAAGAACAGAAACTCTCATGGAAGTTTTTATTATCTAGTTTAATTTGGGGTAGAATTATATATCCACTGTAATTAAAACTAATTACAGTAACTGTAAGTAAGATATCGTGGATTCAGACTAAATATGTTTAATGTGGAAAAAAGTTGTTTTTTAGCAAATGTTAATCTATGTGAACTAATCAAAAATGAACCAAGCTTTTGGTACAATTTTTTTTACATAACACAAACTCTTATCACACTATCTTCAAAGCTACATACTTCTGCCAGTGTCCATACATTTATCATAGTCCTGAAAGCTAGTTTTTGTGATGTATCTAAAAGATTTCATTTCTGCCACTTCTGCTGATTGAAACCTGTAGCACTTAAACTTATCTTTCATTTCAGGAAACAAGTATGGTGAGTAAGGAGACTGAGGAAGCATTGTTATGTCCTCCTCATTATTCTTGGTCAATTTCCTTGTAACTGACTGCAGTTACAAGGAAAAAGATAACAAATCAAGTGATGTAAGAATTTTCTTTTATTAATCAGGTTCCTGTACATGGTCCAGATGGATTCTTAATGATTTTTTCCAATCAGTGAAAAGTTAGAATAAATCTAATTTGTAATCAGAAATTATCTCATCTGAATGAAAATTTGATTTGAAGAAATATAAATGAGATTTCTTCTTTTCTTCAAAAACAATTTAATCTTTTTCAAAGTATGAGTTATACTATAATATTTAAATGTAATAGAGTAAACAACTTCAAACTATTTGAAATACACCAAGTTTTTATGGATGTTTAAAAATTTTCAATGTAAATTATGCCAGTCATACGTTTTCCATCAAACTTCTAGTTCTTGCAACACTTTTCCCAAGAACTCCTTACTCACAGATGGGGCACATCTACATTTGAGATTTTTTAAAAAAGTGAAAGTCTGGAGATTTAGGTAGCCAGGCAACATGTCTACCATGGCCAATTTATTATTGGAAAGTTTCAAAAAATCTATGACAGCACTGAAAATTAGCCTGCTTTTTCTGGACCTGTGAGCGTCACCATTTTCTTTAGTACACAATCGCATTAGTGCAATGTTAAAGTCGTGCTTGTAAAAAAAAAACAGGAACTATAATAATAGTTATAGTTCCTGTTTTTCTTAACTATTTTAAATTTTTGTTTTTTTAGAATTTAAACTATTTGAAATACAGTGGGTGATTGGTTAACAAACATAATCCATTCCAAGACTTTGTTTGCTATCCGAATTGTTCGTTAACCGATTATGAATTTACAATAGGTTTGTATAGGAATTTGATTAATTTGTACCAAAGACCCCAAAAAATAAAAAATATACACTTTCTTACTACATTTGTTTATATGTAATAATAAAAATACATATATACACAGACTTGCATTTTTATTAGTCATACATAATCCGTTCCAAGACTTTGTTCACTATCCGAATTGTTCGTTAACCGATTACCAATTTACCATAGGTTTGTATAGGAATTTGATTAATTNGTTTGTGGGGGTTAAATAATCTGTCTAATGACAATTGCTTTTCTCTCTTCTTCAGGATTTTCAGAATAGCATTGTAATTGTAGAGATCCCTAAGCCTATTAACCTCAACCTGGTTTGTATGCCATTTTACAACCGTTGATCTGACATCCCCACTTCTTCAAAAGATCTTTAATTAATAGCAGATATCGGCATTAATCCTCTTTTTCAGAATAAAACATATCTCGCCGAGTTTCTTGGCATTCTTCTGTCATCAGATCCATTTCAGGTTCCATTATGAGCTCTTCAATGTTCTTTATTTCTCAAATGTAATTTTTGTTACTCCTTTAGCTGCTTGAGTCTTCTTGATTTTACTGTATCTTTCTTAGATAAGATTGAACTGTGCCCTACTGTAGATTTGTTCAAGTCTTACTGTCCAGCAACATCAGACATCTTCTGCCCACTCTCTACCTTTGCTATTATACTCTTACATTTCGAAAATAAAAACCGACAAAAAACTTAACGAGTGCCCGCCCAACAGTCTCATGAATACTATAAAAGAATTGTTTGTCAGAAAAATAAGACTGGAATTACAAGGGAGTATTTCAAAGTTTGAGGGATACTATCTAATCAGTATATATCGGGTTGAGCATCGACGTTGACATCTCCCGCGCTCCAAAAAGTTACCTAAAACAAAGGAAAATCAGTCGGTATTTGCTATTTTCGTTGCTTCTTTTTACGTTTGTTCAGTGAAGTGTTCATTGTCCGATCATAAAAATCTTTCACGAAAGTGTTCATTATCCAATTTGTTCATTAACCAATCACCTACTGTACTGATTTGTATAAACAATAATCAGTATTTCAAATAGTTTAAATTCATTATAATAAATCCTGTGTATCTGCATTAATCAAGTAAACAACAAAGATTTATTATATTTAGAGTTGTGTTTATTTGCAAAACTTATATTTAACTTAGCCTTTATTTATATACCATCTGGATGGCTCTAAAGATATCATTTATTTGTGCTTAAAATTTCTAAAATATTAGTAGATTAAATTGTGTTTAGTGAAAAATCATACCAGTTATTATTATTTATTAATTGCTAATCTATTAAGAAATTAATGCTTTGTATTACTATAATCTTAATACATACATATATGAACTCTCATTAAAATTTATACAGTGGTACCTCGGCATATGTCCTGTTTGGACGAAACAAATTTTGCTTGGTACACGACTTTTGTTCGGTATACGACTTAATTCTACACGTCATTATGAACAAGTAGCATTATCGGTATACTATACCAGACTAGATGTTCGCGGTGCAACGGTTTATAACTTTGTTAAATTTCTTCTGATTTTAATTTGTAAGTAAAATTTTATTATTTTAATTAATCATGAATTGCAAGAAGGCAAATGAAAAGCAACAGAAAACTAAAAAAATGACTAGAATCACAATGAAACTGATAAAAGAGATTGTTGAGAAATATGAAGATGGCACGCGTGTTCAAGATTTTAACTGTTGCATACCATATTCCGAGAATGACAATATCGACAATTGTGAAAAATAAAGACATTATTAAATCTGCTAACGTTGCAAAAAGAGTTAAATTAATTTCTAAACAGAGATCGAAGACATTAGATCATGTTGAGAAATTGCTTTTGCTTTGGATAACTGAAAAACAATGTGCTGGAGACAGCATATGGAAGCAATTATTTGCGAGAAAGCTAAAAAGATACATGCTGATCTCATGAAAAATCAAGCAGGAACTAGCCAGGAAAGCGAGATGTTTAAAGCCAGCCATTTTTTTTACATGAGAACGGATTAATCATTTTTACATTACTTCTTATGGGAAAGACTGGTTTGGTATAAGTCCGAACATCAGGAACGGATTAAGGTTGTATACTGAGGTTCCACTGTACTTGGATCTTGCACAATTTTATAAATAAATTAATTTATGAAAATAATATTGTTAAAATAAAAGACAAACCACCAGATTTAAGAGTTTTTTAAATATAATTTATTATATTTTTAATTGGAAAACTTTATATTTACAAGATAAAATTTATATCAATGAACACACAATTACTGAAATCATATTAAAAATGCTATTGATGTCAAACTGTAATAACTTTTTGTCCCAAAAGTACTAATCACCAAATACTGAACTTGACTAATTATATCACAGAAGAGAATCCAGAAAGTTTGCTCTGTTTGAATATTTTCAACCATGATCTTCCTTTTGAAAGTAAATTTGTTCACAACTTGGGATTCAACCCATAATATGAGACCAACATGTTCACAATATTGTATTAAAAATAACATTTTAAGATCTTATTTGAATCCATTTCAATCTCGAAATAGATTACAGATTCGTAGATAAATACACGCACATGACACCAAACACTGAATAAGAATTACAAGCTAAATTTAATAGTGGTATAAAATTAATGGCTTCAGATCCAAAGTGGATAAAAAAGTTGTTTTAAGAATAGAATAAGAAAAGTTACTGCAAATAAAAATAGTTATACAAAGTCACGGGCATCAAAATCTCAACACTCGATAAAAAATCTGTATTAGGAAATGAGTTTCTTTCAAAATAGCAAATGACTAGTTGTCATTATATCAAAATGAATACTGCATTATTTTGTTTTCCTAATTTTAATCTTATATAATTAAAAATTATACTCAAACTTCCTACTTCAAGCAGGACTAGAATAGGCCATTCATTTCATAGATCAGATATAATACAAGAAGTTGTAACAATATTTACAAAATATTTCGTACAATAAAAACTATTAAGAAATACATATTCATAGGCGAGTGTCCTCGCCATTACTTCCTTGTCGTCGTCTAGCATGCGGTGCAACAGAAGGTGGAGGTGGCGGAGGAGGAGGTTGAAGACGAGGCTTATTTCTATGGACTACGGGAGATAGAGGTATTTTTGCCATAGATCTATCCAAGGGGTCGTTATTTTGGAGTGAAGTTACCTGAGGAGATATGCTTCTCGGTGGCTTCTGAGGTGGTTGGACATGATCGTCACAGTGATCTCTGTCGTGAATCATGGAAGTAGTTCGAGGAGGCCTATCTGGAGGTTTTTCAGATGTATGAGATATAAGAAAATCCCATTTGTCATGTTTCTCTTCATTTTTCTCACCTAGGTTTTTGGATCTAATCCTGACCTGTACATCATCTTGATCTGAATCATCAGTCTGAAATGATAATTCATCAGTTTTTAACTTATTTTCTAAAGAGTGAGTATGGTTTGATTTAAAATCATATTCAGCACCTTGATGATTTTCTGCTATTAATGGTAAAACAGGTTTGGCCGGTTTGGGAGGTTTTTCTGAAGGAATAGTTGGTCTGTCATTATTTATACCATTTTCAGAAAGAACCGAATTCTCAGAAATTGGTTTTTCAATCATTTTTGAAAGTCTAGGTGCAGCAGGTGGTGGACGATCCGGTCTTTCTATTCTTCTATGTCTGTCTAAAGAACCAGTAGAATAAGATAATGGTTTTTCTGGAATTTCAGGTTTTTCTAATTTATTAATTCCTAAAGGAATCTTATCTGAACCATCATGACTTCTGTGAATGCCATATTTTTCTTGTTTGTCTATTATTTTATGTGGTAAAGTAGAAAACATTTTCTCTCCTTTGTTAAGTTTATGATCAAATTTATTGTTTTCAACAACAACTGAATTTCCTTCTATCATTGAGGCAGACATTCTATGACTGGACCCAAAAGATGATGATCTATCAACTTGTATTTTTTCCCTAACTTGTACAGCAGGTACAATGGGAGCTGGCTTTTTAAACTGATGAGGAAGAGACTTGGGACTGTAAGGAAATAAAGTTATGATTTAATTTTCTCAAAAAATTGGCATTTAAACAAAGTTTTAAGATCCAATAATTTCTGAGAAAATATGTACATTTGTATATCATACCATTAATTAGTGATAAATATCTATCAAATATAATAATCAATATTGTATTAACTTTACATAATAGTATTTTGAAAACATGTTTATCAAACTACTAATTTAAATTTAATTATAGAACAACTGCTTAAAGTAATTTGAAGTTTTATTTTACCAATCATTAAAAAGTTGCAGAATAACAAATTTAGGTCAAGTGTATTCAGAGGTGATTATTGGATCACTGTTGTTTATTATACAGACATACACATTTATAAATATCCAAATTCAATAATGAAAATAAATACCAAATTTCAAAAGGATTTATGAAAGGTTAGTAAAATGTCTCCAATTAAAAGTAATAATAAATCATTAATCTAATATCCTCTTTTAACAGACAGTTTATAAATAAACTATATTTGTTATTATTATACTATTTCATGGATATTCAGTGGATTTTAGTATGTGAGAAAACTGATATTTGACAAGTGATAACTTATGATTTGATACCAAAGAATGAGATCTGAAATGCATTTTGCTTGTACTGTACATAATATTGGAATACTCTATATTCTTTTATATAAAGTTAAAAGAAAAACAATAAAAATAACAGATTTTGGACTGATTTCATTCAGGATAAATAAATCACTGATAAGTTTGAAGTAGCTATCATGTTTTACTTTACATATAGGAAAATTTTAACAATGTATTTGATATAACAAATCACAAGCAATTGCCAGTTCAGAGATGAAAACAAACATAATAGTTTACCAAGAAAAAGTATGATTCATACAAATTTATTTCAAGATTAAATTATTATATTAAATTAATAGATGTACTGTTTCAGCCATAATTTTTAATTTAATAATAAGTAATTTTAAAGTTATTTTTTATATATCGTAAAGTCTTTGCAAATCCGCACTTAAAATGTAAATTTTAATATTGGCGGTAGACTATCACACAGCTTTAGCCAATGATTTCACTTTATTCTATTACTATAGATGCATTTCGGTCCTTTTCTAAAAAAGGTCCCTCTTCAGTACTATAAAATACAAAAGTTTACATAAACTTTTTTTGCAAGTAAATATTTAACATAACAATAAATATTTTAGTATTACAATANTATAAATATAATTAAAAATCAGAAATTAAAATAGTTTGGTCTAAATATGAATAATAAAATTACCATCATACACTTAAAAATTAGAATTAATTTTTAGAATTTAATTTAATTAAAATGATTTAGAAAATTTTTAAACTGTTTAACAGCTATGGATATAGACATCCCAATGCAATTAACTTGTATGGTTATATAATCTAAATTAATACAAGTCATGAAGTGAAGATAAAATAAAAGTCTGGATAATGTATTGGATTGTTCGGAAAGTAATTTTGTTTTTTTTACCACTAGACGGATTAGTCGTATTTTTCCCACCATTTTTGTTCTAAACCATATTATCATTATATATTTTGACAGCTAGCATTTTATGGCTTATTTGTAAAAAATTTTGTTTGATTTCCTGCAATTGTTTATTTTTTGTGTCCCATCAAATATGGAAGATCGAAAGCAGCATCTTCGGCATATTTTTCTTTTTTATTACCAAAAAAATAAAAATGCCATTCAAGCAAGAAAAAAATCGTGTGACGTATGGTGGAGATGTGTTGACAGAACGACAGTGCCAAAACTGGTTTACAAAATTTCGTTCTTGCAATTTCAGTATTGAAGATGCACCACGTTATGGATGGCCAATTGAAGCCAATGAAAACAAAATAAAAGTACTGATTGAAGCAAACTGCCGAATAACAATACGTGAAATTACTAAGAGATTAAATTTGTCAAATTGAGCCGTTTATGATTATGAAACAAATTGGTTTCATTTCAAAGCTTGATATATGGGTTCCAAGTGTTCTTAAAGAGAGATACTCTCTTTGGTGGGATTTTAAGGAAATTTTTTTTGGAGCTTTTACCAGACAATTTAACAATTGATTCGAAAGTGTACTGCCATTGAGTAAACAAATTGAGTAATATCATCAAACAGAAAAAGTGGCCAGAATTGATCAACAAAATAGGTGTAGTGTTTTACCACAATAATGTAAAATTTCACACAAGTTTGGTAACTCGTCAGAAACTGTTAAAACTTAGATGGGACCTGCTATCACACCAATCATATTCGCCAGATCAAGCACACACAGATTATTACTTGTTCCAGTCTAACAAATTTTTTTTTAACTGTAAGACATTTACTTGAAATGACAATGTCAAAAATCACTTGGATCAGTTTTTTGTAAGCAACAATCAAAACTTTTATGAATGTGAAATCATACTACTACCAGAAACGATGACAACAGGTATTTGACCAAAATAGTCGATATATAATTCAATAAAATATGTATTTGTTATAAAAATATTGTGTTTTTTTCCATGGAAAAAAAATGAAATTACTTTTCTAACAACCCAATAATTCATAACCCAAGCAATTATTTATTGTGACATTAAAAATTTCAGCCCGGCATTGTGACAATCATAATTTTAATTTATTTAACTTAAAATATATGCTTGCCACCTCAAATTAGTAGAGACTTTCCCCTGTACATCATACTTTTCCTTTAACAATAAAGNCCAAGCAATTATTTATTGTGACATTAAAAATTTCAGCCCGGCATTGTGACAATCATAATTTTAATTTATTTAACTTAAAATATATGCTTGCCACCTCAAATTAGTAGAGACTTTCCCCTGTACATCATACTTTTCCTTTAACAATAAAGTTGTGCTGGTCATCTATTAACTACCTTCAGGGAAAAAGATTTGAATTGAAATAACATGACTTCCAGTTTGCATCAGAAGTTCTCATCTATTTAATCAGGACCTCCTGCCCCTAAGGTTTCCATATCTAGTCTCGTCTTTCATCTATCTAACTCCATTCTTGAGATTAAGAAAAGACAGACGGACAACAATGGGAATTTACAGATCTACAATTTTTTTAAATTGCAGTCCAATTAATGCACAATAAGCAGAGATTTTAGGTTCAAGTCCTAGTCTGAGTGATCTTTATCCCAGGATTTTCTAAATTATTAAAATTAATTAGAATTCTGAAATTTATCTTAAAACAAATTTATAGCATGACCATTTATCTTTACACCAAATCACATTTAAAATATATCCCAAAACTAAACAATCAATTTGGCAATTTAGATTTCTGACTGATTATGAATTCAGACTTTTCTTACACTTAGAATCTTAACTGGTAATCAAATTTTTTTCAAGTCAAAGAGATTTCAATAAATGTCTATTTTTTTAAAAGTCAATATTCTCTGTTTATCAAGATTTTTCACATCTATACCACTATATAAAGAGAATGTATTTTTCATTTGTTCCAACTAACTGCAAAAACTACTGAACCAATCATTAACAAATTTTAACTGTAGCATCTTTATGATCCCCGGAATGTTTACCACTAATCAAACCTACAGATTTTTTTATTAATTAACTAAAACTGCAACAGATTTCTGTCTGTTTATTTGTCTCTCTCTTCACTAGATGGTGACACATGAATTAGTACTTCCTATCAAGGCATTATCTATAAGAAAAGTGTATTATTGAAGTTTACTATTTTATTTGAAGAACTGACATTAAATTATAATTAGTTAATTAGCAAAATCTTCGAGGCATTAAAAATGTGATGTCATCATTCTAAATGGCAGTATGTGTGTGTACATATGGCGGGTTTTCGAATTGTTACGTATTTGTTTGCGATTTGTTAGGCATAACTGTATTTGCTTGAGTTTTATTTATTTGTGTGAGTAAAGATTATGCCTACTCAAAAATGACAAATCCTTGGTGCAAAAAACTCTGAAGTGCTTTCATTTATGCCACTCTTAGACTGTTCATCATCAGCTAATATTGGGTCTATAGATAAAGTATGTGGGTATTGCAGTGCTCTGAAGTGAAAGAATGAATCACAGGGGATTTGCTGCTCTTCTGGCAAAGTTAAACTGGGCCCCTGAACTTTTTCTATCACTATTAAATGGACTCATCCTGACACTAAACATTTTTTTAAGCATAATAGGGCCTTCCAAATGACAAGTTTTGGTGCCACTGAAATACTTGAAAGAAATTTCATGCCAACATTGAAAATTGAAGGACAGATATAGCAATTAATAGCATACCATTAATCCCAACAAATTATCAATTCGAATGTAAATGCCTACAATTTCCAGTTGGTCTATGCATTTGCAATGACCACTAACAAGTCTCAAGGCTAAAGACGAGAGTTGTGGGACTTGACCTGGGATGCAGTTGCTTTTCACAAGGCCAACTCTATGTTGTGTGCTCACGTGTTAGTAGCTGCAAATCTGTTCATTTGTGCTCTTGATGATAAAACACAAAATGTTGTATATTGGGAAGTTATTCAATAAGTTTATCTAGAAAATATTCCACATCTTTAATAGGAATATAATGAATCTGTACCAAAATTCTCTGCATATACACTCTTTAGGTAAGTGAATATAATTTCACCAAATAAATATCTCCTGTCAACAATGGGTAACAACGCTAGTCATATAATAAGACAGAAAATTATCAGTTATATGTTTCAACATTTTAAATTCAATATTAGCTAATTATTTACTATTTTGGAATTTTTATGGAATACAATTGAATTATTTAAATTCATTATTCTAATTATTACAAGTAAACTTTTAGAATAAATTTCAACCTAATTTTAGGGTTTGCTCTGAAAAATTTTAAAATATTGCCACCATTTCATCAGTTTAAAATTTTTTTTGCCACTTCAAATTATTTATTACCACCAGTTTTACTTACTAACTAATGCAGGTGCTGCTAGCCTTAATAGTTTGCTGTCTGGAAAGCAAAAGTAATATGTTAAACTGTCACTTACAAGGAAAGGGCCATATGTTTGGGTCTGATTCAAATGAAACTTGGTGAGCATATAGTCTTAAATACAAAAAGCTCCTTGTCCAAATAATAGGACCCACTTTTCAAATGTTTCCAAAAACTGAGCCTTTAAAAATTTAGTGTTTAACTTATAAGTCTTTGAAAGTTTCATATCCAAAGGTGGCAATAGCAGAGCGAATAAGATGCTAAGCACCAGAGCTAAACAATGTAGGTTCAATCCTTTGAAATTTTATTTTATTTCTATTTTACATGTAACATTATTTTACTGTGTTATTATTATTAGCATTATTATTACTATTATTATTATTCCTCACATTTTAAGGTTATAAAAGGAGAAAAAAGTTGTGACATTTCCTCTTTATGGAAAATGAGCCTCTGTAGATTTAACTCTTACATTGTTAAATAAAGTTTCATTCATATTTATATTCAGATATGGTGATATTGTGACATTTAAAGTGTAACAAACATGAGCACATGAGGAAATTGTCCATAATATTAACAATTAAAAAAATAAAATGCTGTGACTTGCTATCCTATTTTCATATCACTTGTTTTTTTTTTCCATGTGCAGTAATGTCTGAACCTTATTTGTTTATGAGGACAGTGTGCAAAATATGTGAAAATAAATGTGAAGAAATAAAAATTTTATTTAATGACAAAAAGAGTTAAATCTATAGAGGCTTGTTTTCACTAAACAGGAAATGATGTCACAATTTTTAATCTCTTGTTTAATCTAAGGTTTAAACATGAGGAATGGGAATATTAATGATAATGATGTGGTAAAATAATAAAGCTAGACATAAAATTAACTAAACTAGACCAAAACTGAAACTCAGAAGGTTTGAACCTGCATCGTCTAGCTCCAGTACCTAGCATCTTATTCACTTGTCTATCGCCATTCTGGAACATAAAACTTCCAAAGACTTATAAGCTAAACACTAAATTTTCAGAGACCCAATTTTTGGAAACAAAATGGATCCTATTATTTGGACAAGGAGCTGTTTGTGTTTAGGGCTACACGCTCAACAAGTTTCATTTGAATCAGAGACCCAAATGTCTGACCATCTCCTTGTCAGCAATAGGAATCAGTTTTAAATAAATTTTTAATGAATAATTCTGAATAACCCATTTCATCACAATGTTTAAATAGTATTTAACAGGTTGTGTCATGTCAAAATTTTTGTTTTAGTCTACTGAAAAAAGTCATCCCAACAAATTCCCCAAAATTTCCATCAGTCAATAAAAGACTCCAATCTGAAAATGCTGGACGACATTGCACAAAACTGCCTTTGGTTCTCAATGTCACTTCCTACTTTTCTTCCAGAACTTCCAGATGTGATGTCATGAAATTTCTAGATGTGTGATTTATGGGACTCCCATTGTACAGAAGCTTAACATTTTGTTGCTTTTCCTGAAATGTGATTTGTGATTCAATTTCAGGCTGAATGTCGAAACAAACAAACTAGGATTTTTATCACCACTCTAATAAAAATATTACAAAGTGATGATTTTGGCACTACTCAGTACAACCTCTATAATTTATTTCCTGAAAGTGAACAAAAAACTTGCCTAAATTGCATAGAAGAGTCTTCTTTTGGAAGCCAAATCAGATTAGGTGCCATCACTATGGCAATATTCTGAGGAGACATTTTATTAATCTCAGCATTTGTAGCTAACACTGCTAAAAACTTCACAACATATCTGTAAAAAAAAGGAAAAATACATTTATACTAAAAATTATAATATAAAATTTCATAACTATTTGTTGAATTTTATTTATTAGAACTTGATATTAAAAAATATTTAATAATAAGCTCTAATATTTTGCTTTTACAGACAATAAAATATGACAATAATATAAAATACTGAACATAGCATAAACATAGTAGTAGTAAACAAAAGTTTATTTCAAACAAATTATATATACTAAGAATGGATGTGAATGGGTCAAAAAAAAAATAAAAATTTCAGCATGATACTAGAAAAAATAATGTGATTTAAACGATTCAAATAAAAAAATATTAATAAATTTAGTTTCTAGGATGACACTGAAAATCAATAATATCACATCATAATTTATAAGAAATTGATTCTAAGATATTTTTTATTTTTAATCCATTTTTAACTTAATAGTAGATGCAATAATTAATTTAAAAAAAAAATCAGTATCTTACACAAAAACAATACTTTTCTACATTAAATATTCCATATATAGTTATCAAATGGAGAGAAAATAAAAACAAACATAAATGATGACTAAAACTAGATGAAAAATTTTCAGTTTCTCATGTAAAAACATAAGACTTTATTTTAAGCTAGATGTGGTGAATAATAGATTTTAATTATCATCATCTATAATGAATACCTAAATAATTCATTTATTTCTACAGAAGAAATAAGTACCCTATATTTTTAATGGATAAACTCAAGCATATTGACCATATATTTGATACAAATTATTTAATGGCCAAAAAGCTAAGCCAAGTCTGTTCCATAGTGATGCGGCTTTTTTCTTTTAAGAAACAGAATTTCAATTATACATCAAATGAACTAATAGACGGAAATTAATACCTATTAAATATGAAAAGAAAAATGTTTGAGTAATGTATTTAGAGATATTCTGACATAAAAAAATGCAACTGAAAAATTTTAATCTTTTATCATTTATTTATAAATTTACATTTCAATTAACTGGTAATTTTGATTTTCTGATAAATTTCTATGACTCAACTTTCTTACAAAATAAAATTAATAATACATTAAATACAGTTTATTATAATCCATTTAAATTTAACTGAATCATTTAATCACTATAATAGAAGCAATTCTCTTTAATAACAAAAATGTTTTCAGATCAAAAAGACAGATCCTGAAGATTTGAACATGTTCTGTCATTCTAATTATGATATTTTTTAATATAACAGTATGTTCTGAGCTTCTTTTAAATCATGGTCAGTCAAAACAAGTCTTGCCAAACATCCATTTGTATTTTTGATGTAGTTTTAGTGAATTGAATAAAGTGAGAAGAGAACATAAAAATGTTCAGAAGCTCAAAAAAGATATTTTAAAATAACTGAATTTTATCAAAATAGAGTAATGCTTTTTGCTGTTTTAATTTGAGAAAATTTTATGAAAAATTAAACTTAAATGAAAGAAAGAAATTTGTTAGCTTGGATAATAAGTGTATTGGATTGGATTTTCAAATTTCTAAATACCATAATTTATGTATTGCAATGCTTATTTTACATTTCATAATTATCAGCATTTTCGAAATGTAAACTGAAAAGGAAAAGTATTTCAAAATGCATTTTGTAACCAAAATGTTCAAAAATAAATCCAAGACAATATGCCTGGAAAGGTTTGCATTATTGGACATTACATCAATAATTTTATGGTTAGAGGTTTAGAAGCAGTTTAAATATTAAATACAATGCAGTTCTATTTATTTAAATAATATTTTTATCAAAAATTAGAGATAGAAGATTCATTTTGTTATTTAATAAACTTAATAAATAGTTCAAATTTTTTAAAACACAATTCAAACTCACTTTAGATTATTAAAATATTGCTCTGGAAGTTTTGAAACTACAAGATGTAATGCCTGGAGACGAGATTCTTGTTCAGTTATTCTGTACAAAAGAAAAACATAGATTCTTCCCTTAATTTTATAAAATATATTCTGTGAGAAAGTAATTTTTATATTACCTATTATCTTAATTATTTAACGTTTATACTTAATATAAAAAGAACTTATATATATAATAATAATTTTTTTTGATTACATAAAATATATTTGTAAATGCATATACAGCAGAAAATCTATTAAAATTTTTATTTTTATTCAAAACTTTAGAAGAAAATGAATAAAATACTTATTAAATAGTTTCATGAGTTAGGTATAAAATTAATATTTGAAATATGATTCAAAAAATTACTGTTGGTATGAATATATGGTGACTAAAAATAAAGTTATTTTAGGAAAAACATAACTAGAGAAACAGTGTTTAATTACTACTAATTATTTCTTATTTATAAATGTGTATATTTACATTGTAGTACAGATAACCCCTGTATAACACAGGAGTTACGTTACAAAAAATTGCCGTGTTATGCAAATCCGTGTTATATGAAACAAAGAACTAGTGCGAAAAGGAGGGTTAGGTTCCAAAAATTAAAAAAAACATGCTGTTAAATCCTTATTTAATCAGTTTTTTTATTCATTTTTTCCATAGGTAAAATACTTATTTATTATTTAAGTAAATATTTTACAAGAAGATTATTCATCCTACATGATTATCTCAGCATGAGCATCATCAACTGGTAACAGTTTTTGGGTGCGTTCGTTAATAGCGGTTGCTCTGTAACGTGAGTGTGCTGCTGTTAGTAGGCATTTAGGTACAACAGTGAAAGAAAGATGGCGGCGCCTGCACTATCAATAGTATCGTGATGGAGGAATCTATAATTCTAACATGAGCTTTTAGAGGCAAAAGAAGGGTCCCAATTGTAAAATTATCCATTAAATGGATTATTTGTTGAAAGAGCATATTCAAAGTAGCCATGAAAACAATTAGAATGCTCACACGGAGTTATGAGGTGGTATAAAAGAACGCACCCTTTATTACATTTCATGTTGTACGAGGGTTTTATTCAATTCCCGAACCATGTTAGAGTGAATCCGTGCTATAGAAGTGCCGTGTTATACGATGTTACCTGTATTTGTATTATTTTGCAAATTTTTTTAATATTTCCATTTGCAATTTCCTTCCCATTTCTTGTTTTTAATTTACTATCGGTTGCTAAACAGTATCCTTTTAATAACTACACTTTTACCTTTTTCATTTCAAAATATCATCATTAGCATTTTTCCATGTTTCATTTCTTGACAAGAACATAGAAGGACAGACAATTACCAGAAAGCATTGTAAATTCATAAAAAAAAAAAAAGGTCTCTAACAAACGGGACACCCACCCCAATTGCTTTTTATGTCAGTTCCAATTGGCCAACAGCATTTGTTGAGCTAAAAACTGGGCTATTCTGTCTACCCAGATAGAGTAACCCAATTTAATTCATTTTTATCATGCCAGCTATCAGACTCTCACCTGAACATAAGAATTTTTCTTACCAAGCAACTACTGGTACTTAGTACTAGCTATTGATTTTTTTTTATGTAGCTGAAAAAGTGTTGATAGCCAGTAGTATCATCAGTAAAAATTTACTTATATTTTAATCAAGTAGGCAAGTAAATCTTAGCATGACATTAGTTAAAAACCTGAAGAATTTATGCAAACACATATTTGCAGAAATTTTTTAAAAACTGAAATGAGATATGTATATAATACTTGCTTATTTGATTAAAATATAAATAAATTTTGTTTATTACTTATTTATAAGTATGAAAGTCTGCAATGTTCAATTTTAATAATGTTAATCAATGTCATTTTAAAATTGATATCTTTAATAATCTTAACTAATAAAGAATTTATTAAATGTGTAAAATAAATTAAACACAAACTTTCAAATCATTAATATGTATTTAACTGTATTACATACTTAGCTGCAGCCATCCATTCATCATAGAGAGCAAAAGTCATGAGTGGTTCTGGTAATTCTCTTAAATAAGATTTTAGAACTCCTATAATTTATGATTAAAACAAAAAGTGTAAACAAAATCAGTTGTTGAAATACATTTTAGAGAAATATTGAATTGAATATCTACCTGCAACAGCATGTGGGTCTCTAATGTATTCTGTCATATCAACAACACCTGCATCAAATGCATTCTAAAATATTTTTCAAAAATAAATAAGGATATTTATAATAAAAGTTTAAGAATATTTATATTTGAGATTATTTACAATAATTTATTTATTTATTATTTATAAGATTTAGAAATTATAAAAATCTTTCACAGTAAAAAATATTACCTTCAGTTTTTTCATCTTTGATGAACTCCCTGCAATACGAAATAACCCCTATAAGAGAGAAAATAACAAACTTTAAAACTTTATTTATAATGATCAGTTTTGTAAATACAATTTTTTAATAAATATTTATATATATAATCAATATATACATGGCATATCAATATGAATATGTTATGTGCATGTTTTATATTAATTAATGGTAAGTGCAGAATCACATAAATTAAAATAAAACAGTTAAGGCTGGTTCATACTTCAAGAGAATGGAAAAGAGAAGTAAAAACAACACTAACAGGTGTACTAAATACACAACACTTCATGCATTACCAGTAACATACTTCCATTCTCTTTTGGTTAGAGAAAAGTCAACAGAAATTCTACTTTCCTTCAACATGAAGACTGGTAAAACAAATGATTAGAATTAGAGAAGAATTATTTTCAATGAATCATAATTTATCATTTCTTTATTTTAAGTTGAACATATCCAAATACATCTTTACATAGGACTACATATATTTAAAACTTACCTAAAATATTGAAAATTCAGAATCATCTTTCATCAGAATTACTTTTTTTGTAAGGTTATATTATTTCCATTCTCTCTTCTTTTCAAATTAATTAACCGCATACACTACTCTTATTTTTTAAGAATTTTATGATTCATGTTTCACTTTCACTATATTTTTGAAGCTTTATTTTAAACTGCAAATACTGAAAGCATACATGCAATTCTCTTTCGTTCTTTTTAAGTATGAATACTTTTGAGAAGAGTAAGAGAAAAGACACATACTCTTCTCTTTACCATTCTCACAAAGTATGAACTGGCCTTTACTGTAAGATACTATATCTATTTCTTAAATTTGCCTATTGTTTCTTTAATATGTAAAATCAAAGTTAGTAATTTTTAAAAATTGAAATATATTTCATTTCCACATGTTTCAAATGAAACAATTCCAATCGTATTGAGTTTTTGTTTGTTTGTGATTATTTAATTTATTATTATTTCTGACATACCTAAAAAGATAAAAAATACACAAAAATGTATTTTATTAAAATTTTCTAAATAAAAATAAGATTAATGCTGACAATTTTACCAATGTTTATAATTTTGAAAAGTCAATTAAAAATAATTTTGATTGCTATTCAATATATATATAATTTTATTTTATTTTATTAACAAGTACAAAAATTTTTCTTAAAATTTAGCAAACTAATAAATTAAATTTTTTATCAAATTACATTACCTCTTCACAAATGCCAAATTCTAGCAGAAAACCAACACAGGATTCAATTACCCATGCTATCTGACGGTCAGATATACGCAAATGTTCCTCTAGAGAACAACCAAACACTGGTTTCTGAGGAAAATCCTCTATAAAAGAAAAATAAATAATTGAAGATGATAAATTTCAATTTTAGTAATAAAACTTATTTAAATATTTTTATTTATAACATGATATAAACTATTTGTTCAAAAACTTTTAATTACATCAGCATATGTAAAATATATCTTATTAAACATTTACTTACTGATGATATTTTCAAATGATGGTAAAGCTGAGTCTAATATGCCTAGAACAGCTCTATGATAATTAGCTTGTAAACGATACCATTCAATGATCAGTTGAGCAAATTCTGGTTCTCGACTGATTAGTGCAAACATTTCAGCTGCCAAGGAATCCTGCAAATAAGAATATTAAATAAAAATTTATTACTTAGATATATAATAAAAAATTCACAGGAAACATTTATATATAAACAAACTAATCAAAATACTTGAACAATGTCATATCAAAAAGGTATTCATAATTGTTTAAAACATTGATGGAATTTCTATTAATTTGATTTACGAATTTAATCAAATTAGTAGAAATTACTGTATAAAACTATGTAAATTAAAACAAAAATATGTATACTCTAACTAATATCTGGCGTGAAAACTCCAAACAAAGATTGGCAAACACTTTCAACGCCCCTCCTGGGCTCTTCTTTAGGCCAAATTTAAAGAAGAAATGAATCTCTCAACAGTGTGGCAATATTTATTGGATGATAAATCGTAAATTGTTATATCGGGATTATTATAGGATGACCACATCGTATCTCCACTAGTAAAAACTATATTTTGAAATGGCATGTGATTATATGATATGGTTATATGATACACGAGATTATTATAGGATGTGCACATCGTATCTCCACTAGTAAAAATTATAAAAAATTATATTTTGAAACAGCACGTGATTGCCTTCCTCATTTGAACTTTTAGAAATGGAGCACATTCTTATTTAAAAACATTCAATTTAAGAATCCAGTTACAGTAAATTTGGCCTGAAGAAGAGCCCAGGAGGGCATCAAAAGCATTTGCCAATCTTTGTTTGGAGTTTTCATGATGGACATTGGTTACAGAGTATACATATTTTTTGTTTTATACGACCCGGTGTGGGAGAAATCTTTGGCTATATAAATTAAATTCATTAACTTAGTTCTAATGAATCAGATAGGTTATGTATCATTATTATTAATTATTATTTAAATTACATAATTTCAGTATTAAAATAAAAACTTTTGCTATTATTACATTATTTAATACAATACTAAAATCAAGAACGATATACAGCATATGATATGATTTAATATGAATAATAAAACTAAATTTTATTATTATTATTATTATTTCATTACATTAAATCATACAAAATTCATAAATACTACCTTACCCTGCATTGCTCTACTTTCATTGATGCATCTTCCAATTCATCCTTTAAACAATCAGCCTTTGCTGTAGCAGTTGTCACACTGCTAGATAATGAATGTTTTGCAGCAGTTTGATACCTGAAATACCATAATATATATTAATTTAATTTATAATTAATATTAATGTATTAAAGAAAAATATTTTACACTATTTCTAATAAATTTCTACAAACAATTATTATAATATGAAAATTATCTATATTTACTATTTCATGTGTAACATTTTCATAGCATATTTGACTAGTCTCCAATATCTATACAATCACTTATTACAGAACAGATGTTAGAATTTATATAAATACATCTATTTATTAAAGTTTTAAAGAAGAAACAGCTATTTAATTATTGAACTGTACATCTAGTTTTAATAACATTTCTAAAAAGCCTTTGATTTCTTTTTTTATACATTTTTTTAGTTATTGTTAAAAAGCTACCAAGAAAGTTTGATTTCTGATAGAGTATTTTTGAATAATTTTCAAAGAAATTTTTAAAAATTTGGATGTCACTATTTCTACATACACTCTTTGATCTTTAATGATGTATAGATAATTTTATTTGCTATCGTTCATATAAAATGCAACTATTTTCTGAGCATTAAACAAACTTTATTTTTGATAGTATTTTATAAAATATTTTAAAAACTTGACAAAAGAAAAATACTTTAAAAACATCATAAAAATAATTTCTTCATTTATGTTTTTGATAAATATTTATTTATATATAGCCATTACTCTTACATACAACTGAAATTTGTTATAATTTTGATAATCAAGCAATCTATTCATTTTCATTTTTTCATTCTAACGAATTCATCACTAGCAATTTAGAGCATCAAGCATTGTAAACTGTACATCATTCATGCTATATCTGAAATTAGTGTTCTCCTATTGTTTCGTTGTCATATGCAGAAGGCTATAAAACTGCCAACAATCAACAAATGTAACTTATCAAAATACAAATCTAATTTATCAAAGACTTTATATATCTGTCTAACTTTAACACTATATACATTGTCGCAGGAACCAACGGCAACCAGTCATTAGGAACACAAAGGTATTTATTCACTCAGACAATGTACAACTCCTGCAGCTTGCAGTACGAGAACAAGAACTGCTCTAAGCCTGAGAGCTCGCTGTTATATACTACAGAGACATGGTAGAAACATGGTAATTTGTTAGTATTTACATATGTTGTCAGACCGGGAGAATATACACACACACACAAAAAAACTGCATCAATGAGGTTCAAACCAGAGACCTTTGCTTGATAGGCGAAGAAGCTAACCTCTGCCCCATGAATGACACGGTGAAAAGAGCGAGGCATGGCAATATTATCACAATTTTCCATTTCAATAATATACAAATGAAAGATATTATCCTTGTGCAAAGAAATTCTATATCACAATAATATACCTGACATTGCATATAAACTAATTTATGCAGAGCATTTTTTATAAAGTTAGATTTGCTAATCATAGAAGAAAGCATCAGTTTCTGATTTAGCATTGATAAAGATTTCTGATAATTATACATCTACAGTATAAACTATGAATAGTGATCATTTAAACACAAGTAAACAACATTTATCAAAAAAATAAAAAATCCAAAAGATAAATATTTTTTCCATTTGTTCCATAGTTTCAGCAAATTTTCTTAAATGTTTTCTACATTCTACAAAATATTCGGTCCAGTTTCTCATTCTACTTAAAAATGAAAACTTTATTTTGTATTTGTTCTGAATATTAATTTGATAAAAGTATCTTTAGTTATGAAAGAATAATTTCTAAATATAAAAATTATAATTTTCAAACTTTAATATATCTTTTACAATAACTGAAAAAAAAATGAAAAAACTTATAACTAAATGAATTATATACAAAATAGTATATACAAATTTTAAGTGAAATACATTAAAAATTCATTCTAAAACTAAATCAAAAAACTATATAGACATAATTTTTGCATAATTATTCAGAAATTAAATGTTTGTTAAGTATAAAATAACTGAAAAAATTAAATAAAATTCATTAAAACTTAATAAATATATAATTTTTTACAACTTGCAAATTTAACTTTTTTTAAATTCCTTATCTTTGTTTTATTCTAAAAGTTGTTAAATTTTTCTCAATTATTCACTAATTTATCAACATTGATTTTTAATGCAGTTTAAACTATTTTAAATTATTTACCTCGTTCTTGTTGCATCCATATCAAGTGTCAACTTTGCAAGTTGTTTTCTTAGCTTTGTAATATTTGGAATTTCATTCTAAAAATAATAAGAAAGTACCAGTTTTTTATAAATAAACCAAATGCAAAAACAATAAAAATATTAATAAGAAAATCATTTTAATCAACTACAAATAATTTATATTCTTAGATAATACTGTATTTTTTTATACTGAAAATGATTGTAATACAAAAAATTATAATCAAAACTAACAATTTTGTATTTTTTTAGTACACAGAAATACAAAAGGGGCATGTAACTATGTAATGTATAAAAGACAAAGAATAAATCAAGTTATATACTGTACATTTATATTATCTTTTTAGTTACAAATTATTTAATTTTATCATTACAGTAGTCAAGTTAAATTTTTTCACAATTAATAGTAAGCCAAGTAATGAAATTTATTAAACTTTAAAGTATGTAAAGATTTCCAATTATTACAATGGCTAAAAAATAAATAAATAAATATGCATGCAATTCTCTTTTTAATAAGATATTAAAGATTAACTTTCCAAACTGCCTAGCCATTGAATATTTTTTTAAGCTAAAATTGAAGTTAAAATATCATTGAAGCTAAAATACATAAACAAAATTAATAATTCATAATACATACTGATTAATAAATATATCTATCCTGTAAATGAAACAGCAACTTGCAAATGATTTTAATATTTTGTTTATAAGATAAAAATTTTGAAAATGCATTTTTAAAAAAATGGTTAATTTAATATTAGGCTGAATAAATATATTCTTCTCTATGTTCATATCTTTATTTTTAAAAGTTTAATCAAAAAAAATTTTTTAACAAAATTTTAAAATCTAAAATTTATTTTAAAATTTATTAAATAAGTTTTTTCATTTGTGTAATTTTTTTAATAAAAACAAACAAATGCACTTTAATTCCAGTTACCAAAAAACACATTAACTTAATTACTGGAATACAATATTTAAACAAAAATTAAACAAACAAGCAAATAAAAAAATTAATTTAAAAATAAATGTTAAAAGATTTCTCTTCTTTTTAACTGTAAATATTTTACCAAAAATAAATTTTATCTTAGTCTGGTATGCCTCAAAAAATTTTATATAAGACATTTTTGCATTTGTATTTAATGTTTCATATGTAAAATTTATGTTTAAATATTTATATGTTTATGTTATATAACAAAATGTTAACTACAAAAAAATTTTTTAAATTAATTTGCAAAATTTTTATTCTACAAAACATTCATAAACAAACTAATTTTAAAATTTTAGCACCATCCATGATTGCTAAATCTAGTTAGTTTTTAATGAAAAATATGATTTAGCATTATATTTTAGTAGTAAAATAATTAATTACATTAAAGCCAAATGATTGCTGGATTATATTGGGCTACATTACTACTATTATTAATAATTAAACACTAAGTAATTTGACACTAGAGGCAAGTGTTTGGCTGGTTACTTATGGCACAGGCCGGAGACAACTCAGTGCTCACAACTTATAAAATCCCACTAGTAACTGGGTATTGTTACGTCTAAATTAATAGTTCTGGAAACAAAGATCAGATGAAAGTCCAGGTAACGTAATTAGCAATGTGACCGCACAGTAAGCAGGAGTTGTAGGTTTGAGTCCCACTTTGAGTCAATTCTTTTCTTCCAGAACATTCTAAACTAATTATTACAATATTAATTTAATTATTATTATTAAATTTAGCAAGAGATAACACCTAATGCCTACCTCAAGTGCCAAATTATTTAGCATTTAATTATTATTAATAGTGGTAATATAGCCCGATATAATCCGGCAATCATATGACTAATACATAATTATTGGGTATTAGTTCTTCATACTTGTAATTAATTATAATTATATCATAAGCCAAATATATTTATTTTATGAAATCACATTGTACAAAAAAGCAAATTTGCATAAAAAGATATCTAATTAATTAAAAATTTATTGTAAATAAATCCTTTTAATTTACAAATGGAATGCTTAACAAAACAGCAATACAGATTATAATAAAAAAGCATCACTTTGGTGACTATTTTGTTATTATTAAATAAAAAGATCAATTTTAATTATAATGTAACAAAATACAAAAAACAAAAATAATATATAACAGTCACCTTGGAGAGAGTATGATTGTAAGATTATTTATTTTTGTTAATTTTAAATACAGTGGATTCTGCTTAACTGGGACACATTGGGACTAATCCATTTTGGCCCAATTAAGTGACTTCCCCAATTAAACAAACTACAGTAGTGCATCATTTATCCAAATCAATTGGGGACTGGGGTTGTTCAGATAACTTATTTTTTGTATAACCAATTATGTATGAAAAAATATATTAATCTATCCCATGTTGAAATTTTTCTCCGTTGTGTGTCGCTTCGTGTTGAATTTTGTCGATGTTAAGCCTAACAAAAATTTTTATAATAATAATCATGGCTATTGTATCGTTAAAAATTATTTCCTTATTTTGTACAAACAAAATAAATATATTGAAAAATATAAAAACAAAAAAA